AACACCTCTTTCTTCTGTCTTACGTTCTCCTGCACGTCCACATTTCACCACCACATTCCTTGTTGGATATGTTGGGCCTTTTATTTCTCTGACTAAACCTCTGGCATTCCCTATGATTGTGCTTGCCGTTCGTTCTCAAACTTAGTCCACTTTCCTGTAGAAGTCTTTTTTCTAGAAGTCATTTTTTTCGTACATTCACTTTTGAACACGTCTTTCGTCTTTTCTTCGGGCGTCCACCACTGTTTCTTCGATCTAGGTTCTGAATGAACTGTTTCAAAGAGAGTTCCACGACCAGTAGCTGGTGCTAGCTTATGAACGTTTTTTTCTGAGATAAACTTGCAATTTCTGACGTTCTTCAGGTCGTTCCTTCTGAGCAGCGTTTAGTCGACCTGGCTTTTCGTCTGCCCGGTTTTGTGAGGTAGCTACTTATTTTCCCTTTTCTGGAAGAACGTATTTATCAGAGCCAGATCATATGCAACTGCCATCTGCATGATGTTCTCTGGTTCTTTATTTAACGTACCACGTGAATGCCTGCCAATGATCCTCTGGTAAACCCTTCGATGTATTCCAGCGTGCCCATCAAGGTCACTCTCGCTGACCAGTTTTTCGTTTTGCAGTGCAATGTCTGGACTCTCCCAAAATGTCAATTTTTCGGCTTTATTCTTTCCATTCTGTGCGGCGTATGCACTTATTATATTTAAGATACCACTTTCTAAAGTCGGCTTAACACCCATGATTCTGTCGTTAATTCGGTTGACTTCGAATACCTTAGTTTTGGTCGTTTCATTCAATACCACTACAACTCCGTTTGTTCTGTTTGATGTTACACAGTAAATAAGTGTATAGCCCAACCCAATCTCTTTCAGTTTCTCACCTTTCTCGTCTCCTGAATATAGGCGACCTGAACTGTTTTTCTCTGAAGAACTTCCACCAGCTCCATGCCTATTCTTGTCGTTGTTTCGATGTTCCAAGAAGCTATTTGCATTTTTTGCTTCGTCGTTAAAATTGGATCCACTGCTCTTTTCTCACAGCGCCTGGGTTTCGTGCTTCGCGTCGCCTGTGGAGAACGCCCTAAAATTCTTTCTAGAGCAAGATGACTCATCACATTTGGCCCTGGCA